AATTGACTAATAGTTAGGGGCAAGGAAAAGTTGAAGGAAAGGGTAAGGGAAAGTTGGTAGGAAAGCGGACATTAATTATGAAAAAAGTAGTATATATAAAGAGCTTAGGTGATTAATAAAATGCATTTATAAGAATATTAGCAGTCAATTAATAAAATGATAATATATATGAGCACTTCAGAAATTAAAGAATCCATTATTAAAGAAAGTTTAATAGACACAATTATTAGACTAAAGCTTGATTTAAAGAGCAAAGATGATTATGTGAAACAGTTAGAAGGAAGACTACAATTAGCCTAAAAGTTAGAAAAAAATGGCCTACTAAAGCCCAAAAGCCCGAGTTATATCAAACCAAGTAAACCAACTAATTTTTACAATGAACCGCAACAAAAAACGGATTCGCGAAAATCAGGCTGATCGTCCCGAGAAGAAGTTTTAAAATTTTTTGGGCCGAGCAGTAAAAAAAATCATAGTGTCTGTTTGAAATGTAGCGGGGTCTATCAGAGCACAAAAATAGTTCAACATTTTCGTAAACACATTAACGATGAGGCTCGACAAAAAGAAGAGAAGGAAAATTCAGCAGAACGATTTAGCAAAAGATACGTTTTTGATGAAAAAAGTAATAAATACCGATGCCTAATTTGCAGCAAACTGCTTAAACCTCTCGGAAGAGGGATTCATTGAAGCAGCCATGTAACAAAGAGGCCAAGCTTCCTTTCAAAGCAAGCCTAACTATTTTTATAAAAAAAAGGTTATGTAACATTATTTCTCACTCAAAATATTTCTCGATTTAAGAATGATTAATTTCTTAGCGAGAAGGTAATTGCGGCTGGTGACCCGTGGGGCCTTGCAAAAGTCCGCAGATTACCCTCGCTAAAAAGTTATTTCACCTTCCGCACCCAAGTCATTAATGCTTGAATGAGGGCAGTTGTTTATTAAAAGAAACATCCACTAGGCCCCTTTTATAAACGCTGCCCTCACTGAAGAATTAATCCTTGCCGCCGAAGAACAACAAAACCCAAGCAGATAATTATTTTACCGTTTTTTTGCTCTAATGTGAACACTTTGCATTTTGTCAATATATTATATTTTACAAAATAACGAATCTCACATTTAAGCATCACGTTTCAAGTCATATACCTAATTTATTTAGAAAAATAGATTATAATACCTTTGTAATAAATGTTATGAAATATATTATTATAGAGATTTGCACAATAAAGTGTAAAAATGTATTAATTATCAAAAATGAGAAAAAAAAACTGACCTGCTACCCTCTATGTTGAAGGAAAAGACCAATTTCGGGGCTGATTTAATTCTTCATTAATTACTTCGGTCATACTTACTGGCCAAGCCCCTTATAAACAGGTGCTTTCTCACGGCTTTGTGGTTGACGAAAAAGGAAGAAAAATGTCAAAATCTCTGGGGAATGTCCTAGACCCCGAGGATGTTCTGAAACAATTTGGGGCAGATATAATTCGCTTATGGGTAATTAGTTCCGATTTCAGCAAAGAAGTAAAAGTCAGCGTCCCCATTTTAGAGAACTTGCGAGAAAGTTATCAAAAAATACGCAATACTCTTCGTTTTTTGCTAGGCAATTTAGCCAATTTGCCGCCTAACCTAAAAAGTGAAAAAGATTTAGCATTTGAATTACATCCAGTGGACCATTATATTCTTCATAAATTAGAAAAACTAACCAGCGAAAGTCAAAAAAAATATAGTGAATACAATTTTAATCCTATTTACACCTCTTTGTTAAATTTTTGTATTAATGATTTAAGTTCTTTCTATTTTGAGATTATCAAAGATAGTTTATACTGCGATAGCCTTTCTTCCCTGCGGCGACAGCAAATTATTGCTACTCTTTATTATCTTCTACAAGGGCTACTAAAAATTATTTCTCCGATTTTTCCTTTTCTGGCCGAAGAAATTTATCAAAATATTCCCTTTTGTTTTGGTTTCGCCGGTCAAGAAAGCATTTATTTGGACAATTATTCGCCAACTTTGCCTTTCTCGCCTTCTTTGGAAAAAGAAATAGCAATAATCACCAAATTTTTTTTACCTTTGCGACAAGACGTTCACCAAGTCTTAGAACAGGCCCGGCAAGAAAAAATTATTAATACTAATTCTCAGGCTAATTTGATAATTTTTTTAAAGGAAAAAAACGGACTAGATTATTCCCAACTAAATTTAGAGGAATTATTGTTAGTAGCCAAAGTTGAAATTAGAGACGAGCGAGAGGATGATGCATGAGAAAGAAATTTTTCCGCTATTAAGGTGAAAAAAACGGACCGAGCAAAATGTATCAGATGTTGAAATTATCGGGATTTAGAAAAAGATGTTTGTCAACGCTGTCAAAAGGTTCTAATTACCGATTTTTAAGAATAAAACAATCACAGATTGTTTATTTCAGAGTAGAGAAGAAAATAAGGTTATTTTTAGTAGACCGAGAACTCAATTATTAAGAGTAGCATGTCGTCAAAGAAAGATTTTGGCAGACTATAATGCTCTTAACAGAGCGAGATAATAAATTAGGGCTTTTTAGGTCGTTTTTTTTTTTTTTTTTTGCTTCTTGCTCCCAACTACTAATAACCAGATTATAAAAACAAAAAGCAACAAAATTATCACTCAAATTAATTTTTGTCACCAAGGAGAAGGAGAGGTATTGCCTCCACCCGGATAACGATAGCGAGCAATTGAAACATTACCACCTAGCATAGCCCTACTTATACACCTATATACTCCATTTTATACATTTCCGGTATTCCCACAAAAATTTTTTTTATTTTTATTTTTATTTTTGAAAACCTATTTAATTTTATTAACAAACTTCTTTAATCTCCTTAACATTTAAAACACTGCTTCATTAATTTCTCTATTTGGCTAAAAACTCTTTCTTATTCATGCGAATTAATTTCTCACCAGTGAACTGGTAAATATAATCAACATACTTAAATATCTCATAATGATGGTCAATTACTAAGACTGTTTTACCTTTTAATTTAGAAAAAATATTTTCTAAAACAATACCTTTTAAATTCGGGTGAACATTACTTAATATTTCGTCTAAAATGTAAATGTCATAGTCGTCAATGAACATTTTCATGGCCGAAATTTGCTGCTTTTGTCCTTCTGAAAGATCTGAGCCTCCTTCTCTCAATACTGTGTCAAATCCGTGGGGCAATTTAGTAATAAATTCATAAATACCAGTTTTTTTGGCTGCCTGGACCAATTTTTCCCGATCCGCTTTATTATACTTTTGCGGATAATAAACATTCTCGGCAATACTCATGCGGAAAAAAGTAGGGCGATTAGTTTGATAACAAATGTGCTGGTGAAGGCTAATAGTGTCGATTTTTCGCACATTATGTTCGCCAATTAATATTTGCCCTTTTTTTAAATCATAAAGTTTGAGCATGGTTTTAGTAATGGTGCTTTTACCAATACCATTTTTGCCGGCAATGCCGTAGATTTTTCCTTGTTGAAAAGTGAAAGTAAAATTCCGCAAAATGTCTTGCTGGGACCGTTTAGGATAAGCAAAAACGACATTTTGGAACACTAGATCGCCATTTTTGAAAGGCAAGTTTGGCAGAGAGGGTTTTGGTTCAGTAAGCGAGGCTGGCTGATTCAACATTTTAGCACTCTCATTAACAATGGTTAGGCTACTGGAAAGTTCATCCAAAGTTAACATTGCCTCGATTATTTTATTTACTTCATTATTTAAACTGCGGACAGAAAAAAAGTAGCGGGCAAAATTACCCATTAAAAAGACGGTTCCCATTTTGGGGCTTGACGAGTAAAAAAGCAGAGTCAAGGCCATGAAAAAGATGGGGATATTCGGAATAATAATGTATTGAGGAGCCGCTTTAAACAAGGTGCTATACCAAAGCGATTTTTTATTCTGACGAAAAGTGGAGTCCAGTTGTCGGTCAACTTTTTCTTCTTCATATTTTTCTCCCGAAACCGCTTTAATATATTCTAAATTATTAGTGCGTTCGTAGATAATTTTGTTATCTTCTTCTTGTCGTTTTTTCGCTGCCATATATAACTTGCTGGCTTTTTTGAAAAGTAAAATCTCCACGATAATAAGAATAGCAAATAAACCAGCCACGATGGCTAAAAGCGGTAAAGTAGTGCCGGGTCCTCCAAAATTAAAGTCAAAGCACAGCAAGAAAATTATCGAAAAAGCTACATAAATCAAGCGGTTAGGGATGAATCAAATGCTATAAGCAATTTCGTCTAAATCATCAGCAAACTGGGTAATTAAATTGCAGGAAATTTCCGCCGAATTGGTATATTTAGCCCTTACAAGATGACGAAATAAATCTTTTTTTAAATCTTTTTCAATGCTGTCATAGGCATAACTCATTCAATAGTAATGAGTGAGGGAAAAAAGCGACTTCACCACAAAAATGAGGATTAGCAAGCGAGTAATAAATTGTCAAATAGATAAGGTGTCATTTTTGAATCAATGCCAACCAAAAAAATTGAATGAAAATTCGAAATTATTTTGACTAGAATCGAAAACTCTCCGACCGCTAACGCTGGCATTTTCGATTATCTCTTTGACCTTTTCTTTCGACAAAGAACCCTCTCCTTGTATCTCTCTGGTAGCATTTTCCTTGGTCTCTTTCTGTTGCTTATCGGTTTCATCAGCCTGGCTATTTATTATTTCTCTTACTCTCGCCTTTGTAATTTCTTCACTTTCTTCCTTTTCTATCGCTTTAATAATCTGTTCACTCAAGGTTTTTTCACGGCTGAAAAGGGCGTTTTTTGTATTAACACCAATATTGAAATTAACCACAGCTGTGATTACGGCTAATAAGGAACAGAAAAAAAAGAGAAGGGGATTATTTTTGACAATTCTCCTCAATACCAGAAGGAGTAATTTTATTTTGCTTTGTTTTTTTGTTTTGAGAACCGATTTAGTAAATACAGTAGCAGGAGGCATGCGAACAAGTATATATATTAATAATATTTTGCAGAAGCAGAGAACCGAAGTGGCAGGGGGTTAACAAGGATAGTGAAGACGGTTAATTACTTCTAATTGTTAAGCAAACAAAAAGTGTAATTTTCTTTCTTTAGCCAGTTTTTGGAGTTCCTGGAAGCTTTTCAATTTTAATTGACGAGCCGTATTTTCTGATTTTTCGATAATCCTACTTATTTCGATAAACTTATGATTTTTAGTGAATAATGACAAATATTTTTTTACTACTGGCAAATTATGGATTTTTGGACTTTCTAAGGAGTATTTTTGCAGCGATTCTAAATTAAATTTATCTCGTAATTTCAGATTTTCTTGTAATTCCTTTTTTTCTTTTTCATCGGCCAGATAATAAACGTCCACTAAATTAGAGGGCTTAATTTTATAGAGCAGACGATTTAACAGAATCGCTTCTCGTTTGTCCAAGGCGTTAATTAGATTGTTAGTCTGAATTGACACGTCTCGGCGTCGTATTTCCTCATCCGACAATTCGGTATTTTCCTCATCGTGCAAGGTTTCTGAAAAGGAATAAGACTTGCTTTCTCGGTCATCGTTTTGATAAACGCTGTCATAATAAACTACATTTTTTCTATCTTTGACTCCTACCCCTTGATTAATAAAATGTTGCTTGTTGACACAACTTTGAATATATTGCCTAACTCAACAGCCGGCATAAGTGGCAAAACGAAATTCGCTGTTGAGATCGAACTTTTCCATGGCTTTGAAGAGAGAGAAATTTCCTACCGATTTCAATTCCTCGGAATCCACTCAGCCCTTTGATGAAAAATAACCCCTTGCTATGTATCTGACTAAATTTTTATTATGTTCGAGGAGAAAACGAATAGCGTTTATGCCTTCTTGGAATTTTTCCTGGTCCATTTCGGCTAATTCTTGGTTTTTTTTTTTTAGTTCGGATTTTAATTTTTTCAATTCGTCTTTGGCTGTTTCTGATTTAACTTTTCTCGATTTTTCCTTTTCAGCAATTTTTTTCTCCAGGTTATTGATGGCTAAAATAATTGTCACTACTGGTTGGGCGGCTCGCAATAGTGCTTTTTCTTTGTTGGCTTTGAGAGAGAGAAATTTATTCATAATTTAATAAAAATTGTTTGACGTTATCTAGTTCTTGAAGTGCCATATTAATAATTTTTGACTTTTGGCTGGGGGAGAGGAAAGTGATTGAATTAGAGACATAATGACCAGACAACTCGGGGATAGCATGATTTTTTGAGTAAGAAACATGAGAGGTAGAGAATATATAATAATTATAGATTTTATGATACCGAGCACGGTGGTTTTGGGTGGAAAAAAAAGGAACCCTCTTCCAACTTAATACTCAAAAGTCTCGTTCTTGCGTTAAGAAGTTGATTATCTTCGCTTCTTTTTCAACCATTAATTCTCGAAAATAAACAATTTGGCGTTGGCGAGTGTTAAAAGCCGGAAAATTTCACTTGATAAAATGGGGTTCGATTTCGGCTTTTTTTCAACTGGTTAAAGAGGATATTTTGTCAATTAAAAAATCGTAAATATTCGGTTTAAATTTTGAGAAAATCCTGGATATTTCATTAATAAAACGAACGGTTCTTTGAGGATTATCTCGGACTTCTAATTTAAAAAAGTAATATTTTAGGATAAACGAGTAGGGATTCTCTCGACGATTGAGTATATTTATCATGGCTTCTTTCTCAATTTGATGGCAAAGTTCATCAGGGTCGCTTGGATAATCATTTTTCACTACTTCGCAGTCAATTTCTCGTTCTAGCAATTTTACGGCTACATTAATCGTGGCTTCCCGTCCGGCTTTATCATTATCCAAAAAAAGAATAATTCGTTTTTTTAGTCCGATTAAAAGTTTAACTTGTTCCTCTGATAAATTAGTTCCTAATAGAGCCAGACAATTTTCGGCTCCCAATTTACTCAAACTAATAACGTCAAAAAAACCTTCGACTAAATAACATTCTTCGGTCCGACTTTTTGCTACTCTTGAATAGTTATACAACAGAGCCGATTTTTGATAATGTTGATAACTAGGCAAATATTTGTATTTTCCTTCGCCATCTGATATTTTGCCAATTTTTCGAGCCGCAAAAGCCACTATTTTTCCCGCTGCATTGGCTAGGGGTATGATTAAATGGCGGGCGGGAAAAAAATCACAAGTCTGATTCTGGTCCGTTATCCAAACCAGATTAGTGGCTAATAAATCCTCGGAGGAAAAGTCGGAATTTTCTTGGTCTAAAAGTAAGTGGCTTAATTGACGATTATTAATGCTACATCCTAAATTAAAATGATTAATAATTTCTTTATCTATTCTTCTTTCCTGTTGGAGATAATTTAATATTTCCTGGCCGGCTGAGGTCAATAAATTATGCTGATAAATATCGGCTATGAGTAAAAGCAAATAAAAGATCTGGTTTTTTTCTTTTTGTTCTCGTTTTTTTTCCTCTTGTAAAATTGTCAAATCAAAATAGCCCATTTTGCCGATTTCTACAATGGCCTCTTCCCGGTCAATTTTTTGATACTGGGCTCAAAAATTAAAGATATCACCAGCCTTAAAACCACAAGTAAAACAAGTAAATATTTTTCGGTTGGGTTCAAAACTACAACTAGGATTTTTATCACTGTGAAAGGGACAAATAAAAAAAACACTGCGCCCTTTTTGCTTCAACTTAAAATTTAATTTGTTGGTTAATAAATTAAGAATATCATTAGTATTTAACAAATCCTTGTATCTCATTATAGACATTTTACATTTTTTTTCTTTGTTAGTTAAGCAATTTTAAAATGCTTTTAAATCTATTATTTTCACAAAATTTTTGTAATTCGGGGTCATTTTTTCATTCTTCCCACTTGAAATCACACGCAGGCAACTTTTCGCCCGAGAAGTCAATATTTTTTTCTAAACTAATAATTTTTTTGTTAAGACAAACTTCCTTTTTCTTGCCGGATAATAATTTTTTAGTATTTTCGGGCAAATTATCTATTTGCTGGTAAATATTCTCAACTGTTTGAAATTGCTGAATTAATTTTTTAGCACTTACTGGCCCAATGCCTTTCACTCCCTCAATATTGTCAACATTATCTCCCAATAGACTTAAATAATCTACATAATTGTCGGGCCTAAAATTATACTCTTTCTGAAAACTTTCGACAGTATAGAGAGTCGCCTTTCCATCAATATATTTTAAAATATTAACATTTTTATCAAGTAATTGCAACAAATCCTTATCCCGGGTAAAAATGTCGAAAATTGTGCTGGTGTTTGGGCTGTTTTTTTGAATAAAAGAAGCAATTAAGTCGTCGGCTTCACAGTCTATCAATTGAATAAAATTAATATTAGTTTTTTTCAATAATGCTTGGAGTTCGTTCATTTGCTCTCATAATTCGGCCGGCATTTCTTCCCGTTGAGCTTTATAGCGGGGGAGCAAATTTTTCCGAAAATTGGCGCCACCTCCATCAAATACTACTAATAATTTTTGGTAATCGTGCTTTTTAAGAACACTAATCAGCACTCGCAAAAAGAAAAAAATGGTGCCATTAGTTATTTTCCAGGCCATTTTTTGAGACACATGATAGGAGGAATGGAGGAGATTGTTGCCGTCAATTATCAATCATTTTTGGGTCATAGAGACAATAAAATTTTAGTAATATTTGTTCTTATTCTATGGTTAGAAATTAGTTTTGCGTCGGTCGTTGAAGTTTCTAGTAAAAATAGTATATATGCCTGTCGAAAGAACCCTTTCCATTATTAAGCCCGACATTACCAAAAAAAATCAGATTGGAGAAATCATTAATATCCTTGAAAAAAAAGGATTAAGAATAGTCGGAATGAAAATGATTCGTTTGACTCCCCAATTAGCCGCCGCTTTTTATCAGGAGCATAACACTAAACCATTTTTTAAAGGAATGATTGAATTCATGTGTAGTTCGCCCGTAGTGGCAATTTGCTTGGAAGGGGAAAACGCTATCCAATTTAATCGCAAGATTATGGGTGCTACTAATCCCCATGAAGCCCAAGACGGGACTATCCGAAAAATCTACGGAGCCAGTATCGATGCTAATGCCATTCATGGCTCTGATAGCCCCCCAGCCGCAGCAAGAGAAATAAACTTTTTTTTTAAAAAAGAGGAAATATTTTCTTAATTTTTTTATAAGATAAGAAATTAAGGTAACACTAGCCCCTTTTTAATAATTTTTTTTTAATTCTTTTTTGGCGAAAAATAAGAAGGGCAAAAATTAGTATTACCAAACCCATCCCGCCACCGATCGACCAGGCTAAGATTTCGTTTTTGTTAGGAGAAGTAGAGGAATAATTATTATTTTTGTTTTGGTTGGCTAACTGTTTTTCACCGATTTTTTTTGCCATTTCTTGGACAAAATCGGCTATTTCCTGGTTAGTGGTTAATCCTTGCAAATATTCTTCTCAATTGCTTTTATTTCCTCACAAACCAGGGTCTAAATCGCTGGGATTAACTTTACTTTGAGTGAATAATTTTTGGATTTGTGTGCGGGCTTCTTGTTGGGCTTGCTCGGTAGTTGCTGCGTTATTTATTCCGGACATGTCAATCTGCGGAATATCAGCATCTGAGTTCGGCAGTGGAGAATCATTATTTTTTTCGGGGTCATGGTTATCGCCATTAGTCGGCGGATTAGGAGTTGGGCCATTATCATTAGGGTTATTTTGTTCCTCTTGATTGGGAGATTTGTTATTATCACTAGGCGGATTTGGAGAATTTGAGTTAGGATTTGGTGAGTTGGGATCGCCATCAGGAGAAGTTGGCTGCGAAGGGTCAACGGGTGGGCCTTGGGGCGACGAATTTGGATCGGGTTTTGGTTGATTTATTGACAACTCATCTCTTACCTCCATTAATATTTTGCCTAGTCAATTCCCTTCCTCTAAATTAGTATAATTTCCTTTTTGCCCATTGCCTCACCTATCGTCAGATTTGCCAGAGTTCTCCACTAACTTTTTACTCCCGGTGTTTACCAATAAATCTTTTAGGACTTTATTTTGGTTAAATTTTTCTCTAACTACTCATTTCATAACCAAATAATTATAACCCGCCTCTTTATAGTTGTTCTGGTATCATCAGTTTGCTACGTTGTAGAGACCATTTTTACTTCCCGCGAAATTTTTGGCTTTCATCGGATCAGGCTGGTTATAAACTTCTTTAATCAGTTCTTCATTTACATTCCCTTCTTGGGTAAATTTCATTGCATTAAAAAGATGTTCGCTGGTTTTTCACTCAAAAGTAGTGTCGGGCATTATATATCCCTTACTTTGATCTACTTTCCCATCGCCAGTTAACAGGCGTGGCAACCCCCTCGTAGTTATCTTATGAGAAGAAAAGTTAGTAAATCCATAATAATCTTTTTCTCCTTGATAATGAATATCATCTTCCCTATAAAACAAGATTACATTATCGGGCATTTGTTGGATTGACATATTTTTATTATTAATTATTTTTCGTTTTTTTGACGATTCTAAATTACGCAGTAATTCAACCGAGCAGCAAAAAGCGGAAGTTTAATTTGCGTAGCGTAATATCATTTTCTTCTTCTTGATAGTTCCCTCAATCAATTTCTAATCCGCTAACTTAGAACTGAAGAAGAGATTTTTTGCGTTTTCTTCTTTGCTTGAAATTTTATGTCTTTGGTCTTTATTAATCACTATATGTTTTTTTTACAAAAAACTACTAATTATTTTTCACAGCCAACATAACAATCAAAACAATTATCAAAATAACCGGCAAAGAAATAATAGAGAAAAAAATGTAAAGCATAAAATTATTATTACAACCCCTCTCATTTATTTTGGATGTATTATTAAGGGTATCTTTCATATGTTAATTATTAACAATTTTGAAAAATGTTATAATGCTCTAAAAAATAATTATAATTTACATGCCGAAAAAATTACCAAATTCTCCGTCCGTTTGCCAATCTCCACCTAAAAAAATCAGTTTTTGAACCCTAGTTAAGAAATTCAAATGAGAAGTATTTAGACATTTTCTGCTTATCACCGTTTGGACGATACTTTATACTATAGTCTTTGCTCTCGTCAATAATATTATTGAAAAAAAATTTGCTGGTGATAATTTTTCCCTCCTATTACCAGAAAAATTACAAGGATTATTTCCTAATTTAACCTTAAGGCAATTTGTTTTTTGAGGATTAGTATTGGTTGGCCTCCTTGCGTTTACTTCTTATTTTTCTAGTCTCTGGGAGGAAGAATTAAGAATTAAAGGAGGGCATTATGTCAAAAATACACTCTTGGAAAAATTTCGTCAATTGCCTTTGACCGAAAGAAAGGCACGACAAAAAGAAATTAGCACTCTGGTCGAATTAGATTCGGGACAATTTGGTCGTTATTGAGAACATTTGCCTAATCATATTTACCATAGTGCTCTCACCATTGTTCTTTCGTTGTGAATAAAATGAGAAGATTTTAGTCAAATGGGAGCCAAAGAAGCCGCTTTTGCTTTTGTTTGATTAATTTTACTTAATTTTGTTAGTTATTTTTTCACTAAATTAGTTTTGAGGAATGATAAAAAATACAAAAAAGAGTTGACGAAAGAATGGGCAGCACGCGAAAAGGAAACCAGTCATTCTATTTTGATCGACAGCATGGGTCTGACATCTCATTATCGCACCAAGCAATTAAAAATAAGCAAAAAAAATGAAAATTTGCTTTTTTCTTTTAGTCCGATCAAAGCACTTAACAAAACAGTCCCTAATTACTTCTTGGCACAAATGTTCCCCTACCTTTTAATTCTGGTAAACATCAATTTTGGTGTGGCGCAGGGGAACTTAATGGGAATCTGATTTATTTTTCAAAACTTTGGGGATATTTTTGAGTGCTTTTGAGACTACGCCGACTACTCCTCCTCCCTCACCCGCATCAACACCTTCCTCTCCCTCCCTCAAAAAAATGACAATTTAGCCCAATTAAA